GAGGGGGGAAAATGAACCTTTAAAAAAAAAATTAATGAAAAAAAGGTTTTTTTTTTTTTTTTTTTTTTTTTTTTTTTGCCATATCACTAATTCCAAGTATCCAAACTAATGAATGAAAACAGCTTCACTTGCTCTACACTCCTCTATTTTTGTATTCATGTTAAACGTGGTCGTTGCCTTTTATAGCGGCATGTCAACAGGCACTGGAAGAAAGATGAGGGCAAACACATGAAAACTGCACACCAAAGCACTTACACACACACACACACACACACACACACACACACACACACACACACACAGTGCACTCTGAGAGTGCCCTAATGCTGCACAAACAAAGCCAAAAAAGCACCTGTCAAACAGGTCGTTGGGGAATGGATGTGTAGGTGGAGGGGAGGAGAGGCGGAGGGAGGTGCAGCAGGAAGACAGAGCAGGAGAGAAAAACGCCCTTCAAAGAGCAGAAAACTAACAGTTTGTGCATCACATTCTGGAGGAAAACCCCAGACACACACACGCGCGCGTTCAGATTTGGACTATGGCTTCCACCACCTCTGGTGATGTTCTGCCCACTGGTGCCAGAATCTTCATCACTGTTCCTGACCTCTTCTTCATCCCTGAGTGGGTAAGTGTCATTTTGGGTCAGCGGCTGATTCTTAACAGAGTCGGGTTTTTAACTTTATTATATTGCGTTCAGCGTTTAACACTCCTGACTCAGACCACTCCTTCTTTATCTGCCAGGACATTGTCTTTTATTAGTGCTGATTCAACTTTGATCACTTTGATCCTGTTTTTTTTTTTCCTTAAGCTTTTCTCAACAGAATCATCTCCATTTAGACAACAATCAATGTGATGTTGGGCTGGTTCTTTAACATCTGCATCCAGTAGTGAGAAAATGAGAACTTTCTTTTATTAAGCTAAACCCAAAACTAAATAAGCATCTCAAATCAACTTAAACTAGAGTTGTTTTTTTGTTAATAACTGTTGGTAAGTGGTAGCATATGTTACTTGGATAACATGGCTATGGTCTGAGTTTATGCTAGCAGCGTGGCCTGAATGATCTATTGTTTCTGACAACCTTGGCAACAGAAAGAAAAAACAAAAACAAAAAACAGCAACCATTATTATTTTCCACAGCTAAACAATAACATGTAGATCAGAACATGAAGGAGGCGGCCATGTTTTTTGGGTGTACGCCTGTGCAAATGATAGGAAAATCAAACTCAGGTCCTGCACTAACTACCGTAAAAGTATAACCTTGCAGATTTGACTTTGATGTTTAAATTTGAGGTCGTTGTGAGTGGTGATGCTGAAATGAATTAAACAGTAATATGTATATTTGCTATTTTAAGCGACTTTTAGCTTCGATATTCAATAGGCAAGACTTCAGGTTTGCAAATAACAAAAAGAGCAAAAGATAGAAGTTGTAAGCGGGTCGTAAGAAATTTGGACAAAGTTTTTACAACACCATTGTGCTAAACTGCATATGTAAATGTTAAATAAAATAATAACATAAAAGGTTTGTAACGTTTTTATCACTTTTAATGAGGATTGCAAAGTCAAATTCTTTATCGGCTGCTGCAGCTTTCCCATTTCTCTTACTGAAAGTGTGGATGACACCTGGATTGTTGACTTCTCTCTCTCTCTCTCTTTCTCTCTTTCCCTGTTTTTTTTTGTTTTGTACAAGGAAACATGGAAGATTAAATCTTTACAACACAGGTGGAAAAACACCTGCACTACGCAGATATAGTTGCAGAACAAGGTGTAAATCTAAACCAGCCATCGGGTCACTTGGTTGGTTTTGTGACCCGACCGTTTACATGATCTGCTGCTCAGCAATGGAAATGTACTGATGCTGTTTATTTAACCCTTGTATGTAGAAACGGGGTCCAACCGACCCCACACACATAAAACTTGCATCATTTGCCATAGTCCTCTACGTTTGCCTCAGTCTTCGCACGCACAAGGGTTAAACAGTGACACTTTTAAAGCGGGCCGGGCGGACCGAGGGGAACCGAGCCCCTTTGCCCTAAAACAGAGAGCTGAAGTGGTCATTAATAAATAAAGTTTATTAAAGCACAGTGATGCGAAAGTCAGTTTGTTTTGATCAATGCAGTTCTATTTGTACAAAAAATGTCTTTGTTTAAACATTTTCACATTTTATGATAGCAATATTTGATAGATATATCACCAGGCAACATTCTACATATGTGCATATGTATGAATACAGCTCTGGAAAACAATAAGAGAACACTTAACATTATTAGTTTCTCTGATTTTACTCTTCGTATGTATATGTTTGAGTAAAATAAACATTGTTCTTCTGCTCTATGAACTGCTGACAACATGCCTCCGAACAAAGATTTAGTATTTATTTGCAGATAATGAGGCATGGGTCAAAATAAGGAAAAAGATGCAACGCTCCCCGAACTCAAATAATGCAAAGAAAACAAGTTCTATGTTCATTTAGAAACAACAATGCTAATGTTTTAATTCAGAAAGAGTTCAGAAATCAATACTTGGTGGAATAACTAGGAGGTTTTCAGTGAGGTGGTCTCTTCACTTTTTTTCCCCCAGAGCTGAATATGTCGTAATTTAAAACACTGATTTTATTTGATTCGCTCTATTTATATGATTCACAATAAATTTTACATCATCTGCTTCCTCCTCAGTGATCACATGGGATCAGTGGACAGCTGTTTGCATCTGGTTGTTAGTTTTGAAGCAGACCTTCATACTTGTGGTGACAGTGTGAAGGAAAACTTCCCTTTAACAGGGAGAACTGCCAGGCGAAAATTGGGTCATCTGTCAACAGTCAAAACATTCATACACTCGAAAGAGAAAATTGTCTTTTTCACATTTGGTTTGCAAATCCTGTTGCAGTTTTGTTTCATATCAGTAAGCAAAATTTACTGTTCTGATCCGGATGATACCTGAAGGTAATTTAGCAAGAAGATGCAAAAACAATGTTGCTTTTTATACCTTTTTTTTCCCCAGAAAAGATGAGGTCATAAAGAGGTGTATTTTAACAAAAGATGTGCACAAAATAATTAAACAAAAAGTTTCAAACAAGAAAGTCACCATAAAGAGTCTGAGGAGAAGGACTTTCGATTTCCCTCAAGGAATTTCTGTCAAACTTTTCACAAGACAGAATCAGTTTAGTCACCAGGTATTCTCTGACGAGTCAGTCTGAGGAAAACGACTGATATAACTAAGTTAAACAGATCCCCTGATGGTAAGGCTTTAGGTGAAGTATTTTGAGACAAAATACATTTCTGACTGAAACATCTGTGGAGTGATTCACCGGGCTTTTTAAGGAACGTTAAGAGGCACGGTTTACTCTACAGCGTTTCAAAAAGGGTTAGCCTCTTTACACAGATGAAGTGGAAACCTTTTCATTCAGTCTTTTGGAAATATAAACAGATTTATGCAAGATTGTTTCCCCGTATCAGACACTTCCTCCAAAAAGAAGCTGCAATCCTGAAACTAGATAGTATTATTAGGAAAATAAAAACCCTCCATATCCTGACAGGATCAATCAGCGAAGTATGACGTCCTGCTTGGTTTCAGTGGAATCAAACTGCAAACATTTCAAGGCTTCTCAGAAGGATAGTTTTTTTTTTTTCCTCAGAAATTTACCAAGCTGTGCAAACGTTCCTTTTGGCAATGGATACAGCCGACAGAGAGAAGAAACAAAAGTTTTGTGCCGATGCCTCTATATGGAACGGCTGTCGTGTTTGTCCAGAACAAATTTGTTCTGTCTCTCGTTTCTGTACTGAATTGTTTAAAAGACTGTTTTGCTTTTCTTGGTGTCAGATATTTTTTTAAAATTTGTTTTTTTTTTTTTATATCTGTCTGTCGCTATTAGACATGTCATTAGCAAAAATTGTAAAGTTTCTGCAAATGTGAGCTTCTCCATGTTCATGTTCTTTGAATAAATTGGTCTTAAGAGCCAAACTATGTCGTTTACAGCGCTTCACAGCAGAAATACCTTTTGTCACTCACACAAAGACATTGAGACGTATCCACCACCCAACAGGGAACGGTAACTTCAAAGAGGAAAATCTGCTTTCATGGAACTGAAGGAACGTACGATGCTTGAGAAATGTTTACAGATTGGTTGTTTGATTTAGAGAATGGCGCATTCCTGTCGGGCAAACTGCAGGTTGACTGCTTGGTTTGAAAGAAACGTGTGATTAGCTTCTCCAGCCTCTGAAACAACAATGTTTGCACAACGGTTTTATTGAGTTTCTAGAGGGGCTTTGCAGCAAACAATGTGTGGCTTTTTCATTATAGTGGAGTTTCTTAATTATGACAAGGACGGAGGATGGATGGAGAAACGTTTCCTGTTGGACATTTCTGTATACCAAGTCAACACATCCCTGTTAACTGACTGGTTTTTGTGAATTATTATCATTTGTCCATGCTACCTTGCAAATATTCCTCACATCTTTGAGATTGTGAGGACGTCTCTTAACTTTATCCACCTAAACAAGAAGAAAAGTTACACTTTGTAGTGATGTTGTCTTGATTTAGTCCCAATAATTCCATTTGGACTTATGGCCCAAGAATTGAAGTTAAGTTTTACCAGACTGTAAAATATTTTTTCCAAAAGGTTTGGGGGATTTTAACCAAGTAAGGGTTGTTTTCTTTGGGGACAAAAAGGGGAATTCTGTCTTGAAATTCCCACTTTTTATCCCACCCATATGGAGAAGTTGAGTTTCTTGTGTACTGGAAAACACAAGTAGCTGCTGGAGACGTATTCTATGTTGCTGATTTATTCCATGGCAGCTTCAACTTTATATATCTTCTTTTTGTCAGCTTTGGAGAAATGTCCAGTTTTTCCATGTTTACTCTCTCGTAGCCAGCTTTATTTGTGTTTATGTGTTTTTCATATTTCAACAGATTTTCTTCTTACTGGCAACCTTCTCCTGACTGATACCTTCCAACGGGGCTTCAAACTCACTTTCATTTTGGGCCAAAGGGAAAAATCTGAATGTTCTTAAAGGGCCGGTTGTGCCAGAATCTATTAATAAAACCCACTAAACTATTAAAATATCTATAAACCGCTGTTTGATTCAGCATTCAGTCAGTGTTTCTTAAAGTGAAATAGTAATAACCATCTTTTTACTCTGATCAGTCCATCCAGAATTGATCTTGTGGTATTTTGCAATCACAGTCAATTTAGAAATATTTGTAAATAATTTTTACAATATTTATGTTAATGTAAGATGCTGAGTGTGACTTTTTAAAAATCAATAACAGACTGTAATTTGACGTCAAGAAAGGCTGAGGCAGCAATCACTTAAACCCAATGTTTTTGACCAATTTTGAGAATGATTTGCAGTAAAATCAGAAATAATTTGGAGATCTGATGATTTTGTGTGAATGCTGCGGATTTGTGACGAACTGGAAGGACTAATCTGTGTAATTTTGACTCCAGAGGGCCACATAAAAAGCTGCAGCGGGCCAAATTTGGCCCCCGGGCCTTGAGTTTGACACATGTGCCTTAGAACAATGTCATCCCTTTAATCTGTCTAACCTCTCAGCTACGGCTCTGACTGAAGGAAATATAAATAATGCTGATAAATTAAGCATTATCAATATTCATACTTTTTTTTTTTTTAACAAATCAGTTCCACAGAGGCTCACATACAGTTTCACTACTCAACAATATTATTAACAATCCATCTTCACTGAAGCACGCTGCGGAAGATTTTAAACAAAAGAGTCCCCTTCCAAGAGACACAGAGTGGTTTTTAATATTTCTTAATATGCTAAGCTTTATAACAAAAATACCTTTTGATAATGCAGAGAGAGAGAGAGAGAAAACTAAATGTTTACAGAAGGATAGGAAAAGCTTTGATGGATGTACATTTGCTTCAGCCTCATGTTTCTGTGTAAAGGTTCTTTTAAGCCCAATGTTTGTCAAAGGAGGAGAGAAAAAAAACTGAATGTAAAAGCTGGCGTGTGTTTTTCATAGCCCAGAATATTGCCTTTCAGTCATGAATAATATAGGAAATATGTTGATTAAAAAAAAAAAGTACAAATGCTTTTTGTGAGATTTTAAGATTTAGCCACTTTTTAAAAAATTTAGATTCAGTTAGGGACTAAAAATGAGCCTCGTACATCAATGTACTATAAAATTACAGTTTTTTTCCCACTTTATCATGTACATCAGTTTAAATATCTATACTAAGGCTTCAAGAAATATATTTTAAGATGTATACCAGTAATTCTCAAAATCTGAACTCTGAGCTACACCCAATGGTAAATTTAATTATGCCACCAGGCAGTTTTAGCTTATGAAGCTGATTTAACTCATCTAAACAAATCAAATAATTTACAGCATTTTACTGTCAGAAATGAGAGTAAATGACAGTCTGTAAGGGTCACAGGTTGGCGGCAGACGTTTTGTACAAATGCAAAGTAAAAAATAAAAAGTGATTTAAAAAATAAAAAGTGATTTTAAAAGAGATTTAGTTCCCAATTATTTAATCAATTAATTATTTTGTTGAGTGAAATAGTTTTTTTTTTTTTTGTTGTTTTTTTGAGGATGTTAAGTAGAAACCATATTAGTACTTTTAAACCTGCCCTCCTCTCTCCTCGCAGGTCATTGGGGGTTTGGTGTGGATCCTGGTGGCCTCGACCCGAGTCTTCCCAGACAATCCTCTGGGCTGGGTCATGTTCGTGTCCATCTTCTGCTTCGTCGGGACGACTCTGTGGCTTCTCATCTTCGCCTGTGGAGGCAATCAGAGCAGCTTTTGGCCCGGCCTGGTTAGACACACACACACACACGCACGCACACACACACACACACACACACACACATAAATAGAAAACTATGCATTTCCTGACAGTCATTCAGTGTTGACAGTCTTCCTTCTTTTGTCTTGCAGGATGCTGGTTTTCATTTTGTGGCAGCGGTTTTCTACCTCAGTGCGTCGGTGGTGTTAGCCTACATCACCATTGTGCATAAGACTGCTTCAACTATTGACATAACCCTACTGAAGATCTACCGACTTGACATTTCTGCAGTGGTACACAAAACACACCTAACTAAAGATAATCTACTTTTAACAGGAGGACCTACATCTTAAAAATTTTGTACCAAGGAACTTTACTTGTTGCGTTGAATGTTGGATTATTAACCTGGACTTTTGTGAGTGCAATGTCTTCACATGCTGTAAAAATAGTTTTGTCCAGTTTTCCTTCAGGAGGAACTGGGACGTTTATCAGTACCAGCTAGTTTTGCTGTCTGCTGAAGATGAGGAGTGATTTTATTTTCACTCATCGATCCAAGTGTCCAAAATTATTATGGAGGATTAGGGCCATGCTAGAAAAATAATAAAATTACAAGAATAAAGTCACAATATCATGACTTTGTTCTGTTAATTCCCGTATGGCTCTATGCTTGTAATGTTATGACTTTATTCTGAGAATATTATGATTTTATTCTCATATGAGTTTATTCTCGTAGTATTATGACTTTATTATTTTAATTGTATGACTATATTTTCACTATTTTTTTTAATTTATTTATTTTTTTAGTGTGGCTCTAAAACTCTGACGTACAAAAAAATGGCTTCAGCAGGTGAAAAACAAGGGAATGTTCCAGCAAGCGTTGGTACATCAGTACGGAAACACGTTTTGTCGTCACAATTTGATTGATTTGGAGGAGATTTGCAGGGTAAAGTGGACAAGTACCGCCAAAGCAAGATGTGGGAGAGCGATAGATCGCGATCACAGAAGACTGTGGAATGCAGATACTAAATCAAAAATTGTTTTGACAAAATATCAGTTGAAAAGTGTGCACGCTTCAGCAACCTTGATTGCTGCATGTGTTGTATTTTTCAGTTTCTTACCGACAGATTTGTTTGGTTTCCAGGTGAAATGTACAGAACATTTGATAAAAATCCAAAAGACAAAAAAAAAAAAAAACAGGAACATTTTGAAATGATTTATTGTTGTTCGGTGGTTTATTTTGTTTACATTCTTAAAATCCACTGTTGATCATACAACTACTGCAGGCATCAGGGGGATTATTCTCCAGATCAGAATTACAAGATTGCACATTTCAGTCCAAAATGTAAAATCCTCTGAGTTATTTTTACATTTTGAATTTGGACTTTTGTTTCATAAATAAAGCTACCCCTAATGTACGCCTCTCTGCTTCCTTTTGGCATCCAGGCACTTTAACGCTTCTGTTTGGATCATTTTTAGGTGATGTCCCATGTGGCTACTCTCCTCTACTTCCTCCACGCCATTTTCTCTGCCATCCGATGGAAGAGAGCCTGAAGCGCAACCTGAACCCCTCCAGACGTCAAACACAAGGAGAGACGCAGAAAAATAATGGCATATGTGACACATTTTTGTTTTTCCTGTTTCGTTAGAACAAATGGCGAAAAAAAAAAAAACTAAAGTGATGAAACCCATTATGCACAATATAAGTCGCTGTTTTGACACGATAAGCAACTATTAGGTCTGAGTGATACTGCTGATAGAAGTGCTTAAAAAAATGTCTTTTTAGAAAAATACATTCATTCAGACAGTCTGAGTTGTTTAACAAATAGGAAAAAACGATTTCAGTGTTTTCATTTCATGGTAGTCATTTGACCTTCACAAAGCAGCTGCTTTAGAGTCCACTCAACCAGCAGAAACCTTTAAAACAAACCCACGTACAATTTTATAATTCACTCCAGATGTTTCGAAGTTGCTTGTTTTTTGTTTGTTTTTTTTCCTTATGAATGCACGAAAGATACTTTTCAGGTATTTCCTTTATTATTTCAATAACTGCACAGGTAACACACTAAATATACGACACAGAGGTAAACAGAACCACATGAAAATCAAGTAAAATTCTAATGAATTACNAAAACAGCAACCATTATTATTTTCCACAGCTAAACAATAACATGTAGATCAGAACATGAAGGAGGCGGCCATGTTTTTTGGGTGTACGCCTGTGCAAATGATAGGAAAATCAAACTCAGGTCCTGCACTAACTACCGTAAAAGTATAACCTTGCAGATTTGACTTTGATGTTTAAATTTGAGGTCGTTGTGAGTGGTGATGCTGAAATGAATTAAACAGTAATATGTATATTTGATATTTTAAGCGACTTTTAGCTTCGATATTCAATAGGCAAGACTTCAGGTTTGCAAATAACAAAAAGAGCAAAAGATAGAAGTTGTAAGCGGGTCGTAAGAAATTTGGACAAAGTTTTTACAACACCATTGTGCTAAACTGCATATGTAAATGTTAAATAAAATAATAACATAAAAGGTTTGTAACGTTTTTATCACTTTTAATGAGGATTGCAAAGTCAAATTCTTTATCGGCTGCTGCAGTTTTCCCATTTGTCTTACTGAAAGTGTGGATGGCACCTGGATTGTTGACTTCTCTCTCTCTCTCTCTTTCTCTCTTTCCCTGTTTTTTTTTGTTTTGTACAAGGAAACATGGAAGATTAAATCTTTACAACACAGGTGGAAAAACACCTGCACTACGCAGATATAGTTGCAGAACAAGGTGTAAATCTAAACCAGCCATCGGGTCACTTGGTTGGTTTTGTGACCCGACCGTTTACATGATCTGCTGCTCAGCAATGGAAATGTACTGATGCTGTTTATTTAACCCTTGTATGTAGAAACGGGGTCCAACCGACCCCACACACATAAAACTTGCATCATTTGCCATAGTCCTCTACGTTTGCCTCAGTCTTCGCACGCACAAGGGTTAAACAGTGACACTTTTAAAGCGGGCCGGGCGGACCGAGGGGAACCGAGCCCCTTTGCCCTAAAACAGAGAGCTGAAGTGGTCATTAATAAATAAAGTTTATTAAAGCACAGTGATGCGAAAGTCAGTTTGTTTTGATCAATGCAGTTCTATTTGTACAAAAAATGTCTTTGTTTAAACATTTTCACATTTTATGATAGCAATATTTGATAGATATATCACCAGGCAACATTCTACATATGTGCATATGTATGAATACAGCTCTGGAAAACAATAAGAGAACACTTAACATTATTAGTTTCTCTGATTTTACTCTTCGTATGTATATGTTTGAGTAAAATAAACATTGTTCTTCTGCTCTATGAACTGCTGACAACATGCCTCCGAACAAAGATTTAGTATTTATTTGCAGATAATGAGGCATGGGTCAAAATAAGGAAAAAGATGCAACGCTCCCCGAACTCAAATAATGCAAAGAAAACAAGTTCTATGTTCATTTAGAAACAACAATGCTAATGTTTTAATTCAGAAAGAGTTCAGAAATCAATACTTGGTGGAATAACTAGGAGGTTTTCAGTGAGGTGGTCTCTTCACTTTTTTTCCCCCAGAGCTGAATATGTCGTAATTTAAAACACTGATTTTATTTGATTCGCTCTATTTATATGATTCACAATAAATTTTACATCATCTGCTTCCTCCTCAGTGATCACATGGGATCAGTGGACAGCTGTTTGCATCTGGTTGTTAGTTTTGAAGCAGACCTTCATACTTGTGGTGACAGTGTGAAGGAAAACTTCCCTTTAACAGGGAGAACTGCCAGGCGAAAATTGGGTCATCTGTCAACAGTCAAAACATTCATACACTCGAAAGAGAAAATTGTCTTTTTCACATTTGGTTTGCAAATCCTGTTGCAGTTTTGTTTCATATCAGTAAGCAAAATTTACTGTTCTGATCCGGATGATACCTGAAGGTAATTTAGCAAGAAGATGCAAAAACAATGTTGCTTTTTATACCTTTTTTTTCCCCAGAAAAGATGAGGTCATAAAGAGGTGTATTTTAACAAAAGATGTGCACAAAATAATTAAACAAAAAGTTTCAAACAAGAAAGTCACCATAAAGAGTCTGAGGAGAAGGACTTTCGATTTCCCTCAAGGAATTTCTGTCAAACTTTTCACAAGACAGAATCAGTTTAGTCACCAGGTATTCTCTGACGAGTCAGTCTGAGGAAAACGACTGATATAACTAAGTTAAACAGATCCCCTGATGGTAAGGCTTTAGGTGAAGTATTTTGAGACAAAATACATTTCTGACTGAAACATCTGTGGAGTGATTCACCGGGCTTTTTAAGGAACGTTAAGAGGCACGGTTTACTCTACAGCGTTTCAAAAAGGGTTAGCCTCTTTACACAGATGAAGTGGAAACCTTTTCATTCAGTCTTTTGGAAATATAAACAGATTTATGCAAGATTGTTTCCCCGTATCAGACACTTCCTCCAAAAAGAAGCTGCAATCCTGAAACTAGATAGTATTATTAGGAAAATAAAAACCCTCCATATCCTGACAGGATCAATCAGCGAAGTATGACGTCCTGCTTGGTTTCAGTGGAATCAAACTGCAAACATTTCAAGGCTTCTCAGAAGGATAGTTTTTTTTTTTTTTCCTCAGAAATTTACCAAGCTGTGCAAACGTTCCTTTTGGCAATGGATACAGCCGACAGAGAGAAGAAACAAAAGTTTTGTGCCGATGCCTCTATATGGAACGGCTGTCGTGTTTGTCCAGAACAAATTTGTTCTGTCTCTCGTTTCTGTACTGAATTGTTTAAAAGACTGTTTTGCTTTTCTTGGTGTCAGATATTTTTTTAAAATTTGTTTTTTTTTTTTTATATCTGTCTGTCGCTATTAGACATGTCATTAGCAAAAATTGTAAAGTTTCTGCAAATGTGAGCTTCTCCATGTTCATGTTCTTTGAATAAATTGGTCTTAAGAGCCAAACTATGTCGTTTACAGCGCTTCACAGCAGAAATACCTTTTGTCACTCACACAAAGACATTGAGACGTATCCACCACCCAACAGGGAACGGTAACTTCAAAGAGGAAAATCTGCTTTCATGGAACTGAAGGAACGTACGATGCTTGAGAAATGTTTACAGATTGGTTGTTTGATTTAGAGAATGGCGCATTCCTGTCGGGCAAACTGCAGGTTGACTGCTTGGTTTGAAAGAAACGTGTGATTAGCTTCTCCAGCCTCTGAAACAACAATGTTTGCACAACGGTTTTATTGAGTTTCTAGAGGGGCTTTGCAGCAAACAATGTGTGGCTTTTTCATTATAGTGGAGTTTCTTAATTATGACAAGGACGGAGGATGGATGGAGAAACGTTTCCTGTTGGACATTTCTGTATACCAAGTCAACACATCCCTGTTAACTGACTGGTTTTTGTGAATTATTATCATTTGTCCATGCTACCTTGCAAATATTCCTCACATCTTTGAGATTGTGAGGACGTCTCTTAACTTTATCCACCTAAACAAGAAGAAAAGTTACACTTTGTAGTGATGTTGTCTTGATTTAGTCCCAATAATTCCATTTGGACTTATGGCCCAAGAATTGAAGTTAAGTTTTACCAGACTGTAAAATATTTTTTCCAAAAGGTTTGGGGGATTTTAACCAAGTAAGGGTTGTTTTCTTTGGGGACAAAAAGGGGAATTCTGTCTTGAAATTCCCACTTTTTATCCCACCCATATGGAGAAGTTGAGTTTCTTGTGTACTGGAAAACACAAGTAGCTGCTGGAGACGTATTCTATGTTGCTGATTTATTCCATGGCAGCTTCAACTTTATATATCTTCTTTTTGTCAGCTTTGGAGAAATGTCCAGTTTTTCCATGTTTACTCTCTCGTAGCCAGCTTTATTTGTGTTTATGTGTTTTTCATATTTCAACAGATTTTCTTCTTACTGGCAACCTTCTCCTGACTGATACCTTCCAACGGGGCTTCAAACTCACTTTCATTTTGGGCCAAAGGGAAAAATCTGAATGTTCTTAAAGGGCCGGTTGTGCCAGAATCTATTAATAAAACCCACTAAACTATTAAAATATCTATAAACCGCTGTTTGATTCAGCATTCAGTCAGTGTTTCTTAAAGTGAAATAGTAATAACCATCTTTTTACTCTGATCAGTCCATCCAGAATTGATCTTGTGGTATTTTGCAATCACAGTCAATTTAGAAATATTTGTAAATAATTTTTACAATATTTATGTTAATGTAAGATGCTGAGTGTGACTTTTTAAAAATCAATAACAGACTGTAATTTGACGTCAAGAAAGGCTGAGGCAGCAATCACTTAAACCCAATGTTTTTGACCAATTTTGAGAATGATTTGCAGTAAAATCAGAAATAATTTGGAGATCTGATGATTTTGTGTGAATGCTGCGGATTTGTGACGAACTGGAAGGACTAATCTGTGTAATTTTGACTCCAGAGGGCCACATAAAAAGCTGCAGCGGGCCAAATTTGGCCCCCGGGCCTTGAGTTTGACACATGTGCCTTAGAACAATGTCATCCCTTTAATCTGTCTAACCTCTCAGCTACGGCTCTGACTGAAGGAAATATAAATAATGCTGATAAATTAAGCATTATCAATATTCATACTTTTTTTTTTTTTAACAAATCAGTTCCACAGAGGCTCACATACAGTTTCACTACTCAACAATATTATTAACAATCCATCTTCACTGAAGCACGCTGCGGAAGATTTTAAACAAAAGAGTCCCCTTCCAAGAGACACAGAGTGGTTTTTAATATTTCTTAATATGCTAAGCTTTATAACAAAAATACCTTTTGATAATGCAGAGAGAGAGAGAGAGAAAACTAAATGTTTACAGAAGGATAGGAAAAGCTTTGATGGATGTACATTTGCTTCAGCCTCATGTTTCTGTGTAAAGGTTCTTTTAAGCCCAATGTTTGTCAAAGGAGGAGAGAAAAAAAACTGAATGTAAAAGCTGGCGTGTGTTTTTCATAGCCCAGAATATTGCCTTTCAGTCATGAATAATATAGGAAATATGTTGATTAAAAAAAAAAAGTACAAATGCTTTTTGTGAGATTTTAAGATTTAGCCACTTTTTAAAAAATTTAGATTCAGTTAGGGACTAAAAATGAGCCTCGTACATCAATGTACTATAAAATTACAGTTTTTTTCCCACTTTATCATGTACATCAGTTTAAATATCTATACTAAGGCTTCAAGAAATATATTTTAAGATGTATACCAGTAATTCTCAAAATCTGAACTCTGAGCTACACCCAATGGTAAATTTAATTATGCCACCAGGCAGTTTTAGCTTATGAAGCTGATTTAACTCATCTAAACAAATCAAATAATTTACAGCATTTTACTGTCAGAAATGAGAGTAAATGACAGTCTGTAAGGGTCACAGGTTGGCGGCAGACGTTTTGTACAAATGCAAAGTAAAAAATAAAAAGTGATTTAAAAAATAAAAAGTGATTTTAAAAGAGATTTAGTTCCCAATTATTTAATCAATTAATTATTTTGTTGAGTGAAATAGTTTTTTTTTTTTTTGTTGTTTTTTTGAGGATGTTAAGTAGAAACCATATTAGTACTTTTAAACCTGCCCTCCTCTCTCCTCGCAGGTCATTGGGGGTTTGGTGTGGATCCTGGTGGCCTCGACCCGAGTCTTCCCAGACAATCCTCTGGGCTGGGTCATGTTCGTGTCCATCTTCTGCTTCGTCGGGACGACTCTGTGGCTTCTCATCTTCGCCTGTGGAGGCAATCAGAGCAGCTTTTGGCCCGGCCTGGTTAGACACACACACACACACGCACGCACACACACACACACACACACACACACATAAATAGAAAACTATGCATTTCCTGACAGTCATTCAGTGTTGACAGTCTTCCTTCTTTTGTCTTGCAGGATGCTGGTTTTCATTTTGTGGCAGCGGTTTTCTACCTCAGTGCGTCGGTGGTGTTAGCCTACATCACCATTGTGCATAAGACTGCTTCAACTATTGACATAACCCTACTGAAGATCTACCGACTTGACATTTCTGCAGTGGTACACAAAACACACCTAACTAAAGATAATCTACTTTTAACAGGAGGACCTACATCTTAAAAATTTTGTACCAAGGAACTTTACTTGTTGCGTTGAATGTTGGATTATTAACCTGGACTTTTGTGAGTGCAATGTCTTCACATGCTGTAAAAATAGTTTTGTCCAGTTTTCCTTCAGGAGGAACTGGGACGTTTATCAGTACCAGCTAGTTTTGCTGTCTGCTGAAGATGAGGAGTGATTTTATTTTCACTCATCGATCCAAGTGTCCAAAATTATTATGGAGGATTAGGGCCATGCTAGAAAAATAATAAAATTACAAGAATAAAGTCACAATATCATGACTTTGTTCTGTTAATTCCCGTATGGCTCTATGCTTGTAATGTTATGACTTTATTCTGAGAATATTATGATTTTATTCTCATATGAGTTTATTCTCGTAGTATTATGACTTTATAATTTAATTGTATGACTATATTTTCACTATTTTTTTTAATTTATTTATTTTTTTAGTGTGGCTCTAAAACTCTGACGTACAAAAAAATGGCTTCAGCAGGTGAAAAACAAGGGAATGTTCCAGCAAGCGTTGGTACATCAGTACGGAAACACGTTTTGTCGTCACAATTTGATTGATTTGGAGGAGATTTGCAGGGTAAAGTGGACAAGTACCGCCAAAGCAAGATGTGGGAGAGCGATAGATCGCGATCACAGAAGACTGTGGAATGCAGATACTAAATCAAAAATTGTTTTGACAAAATATCAGTTGAAAAGTGTGCACGCTTCAGCAACCTTGATTGCTGCATGTGTTGTATTTTTCAGTTTCTTACCGACAGATTTGTTTGGTTTCCAGGTGAAATGTACAGAACATTTGATAAAAATCCAAAAGACAAAAAAAAAAAAAAACAGGAACATTTTGAAATGATTTATTGTTGTTCGGTGGTTTATTTTGTTTACATTCTTAAAATCCACTGTTGATCATACAACTACTGCAGGCATCAGGGGGATTATTCTCCAGATCAGAATTACAAGATTGCACATTTCAGTCCAAAATGTAAAATCCTCTGAGTTATTTTTACATTTTGAATTTGGACTTTTGTTTCATAAATAAAGCTACCCCTAATGTACGCCTCTCTGCTTCCTTTTGGCATCCAGGCACTTTAACGCTTCTGTTTGGATCATTTTTAGGTGATGTCCCATGTGGCTACTCTCCTCTACTTCCTCCACGCCATTTTCTCTGCCATCCGATGGAAGAGAGCCTGAAGCGCAACCTGAACCCCTCCAGACGTCAAACACAAGGAGAGACGCAGAAAAATAATGGCATATGTGACACATTTTTGTTTTTCCTGTTTCGTTAGAACAAATGGCGAAAAAAAAAAAAACTAAAGTGATGAAACCCATTATGCACAATATAAGTCGCTGTTTTGACACGATAAGCAACTATTAGGTCTGAGTGATACTGCTGATAGAAGTGCTTAAAAAAATGTCTTTTTAGAAAAATACATTCATTCAGACAGTCTGAGTTGTTTAACAAATAGGAAAAAACGATTTCAGTGTTTTCATTTCATGGTAGTCATTTGACCTTCACAAAGCAGCTGCTTTAGAGTCCACTCAACCAGCAGAAACCTTTAAAACAAACCCACGTACAATTTTATAATTCACTCCAGATGTTTCGAAGTTGCTTGTTTTTTGTTTGTTTTTTTTCCTTATGAATGCACGAAAGATACTTTTCAGGTATTTCCTTTATTATTTCAATAACTGCACAGGTAACACACTAAATATACGACACAGAGGTAAACAGAACCACATGAAAATCAAGTAAAATTCTAATGAATTACGACTACTACTACTACTACTACTACTAATAATAATAATAATAGTAGTAATGATAATGTCAAAATAAATTAGAGTCAATTTGCAGTGGTCAAAACTTGTTTTTTTTTAAGAAAAAAAAAACACCCAAAGTTCAAAGTCTGACACGTGTCATGATCCATTTCACATCCTTCATGGTCAAGCCGACTGCGTTCGCTCTTTTGATCTGTTTTTTTTTTTACATTTTAAATGAGGAAATCATAAAACAAAAAAAGAATGAAGAGATTAGTTTTTGATTAACTTTTTTTTTATTCTATTCCTAAAGAACAATCTGTGTTGGTTCCCGTTTTTATGCTCTGTGCTGTGGAATAAATGCGGAGATTTCGAGATTGTAAATAAATGATTTCACTTTACAGGTATGTTGATAATCTTTGTCACAAAATAAATAGATTGGAAATTAGAATATGTGTTGGTTTGTTGACTAAATGAAATAATAAAAAAAGATGGACGTTGAAATGAAGTCATTGAGATATGGATGTCGAAAAACATCTGAACTTGGACTTTGTGTCGTTTTAGTAAAGGAAAGCAGCAGTTCAACACTCACTGTGTTTAATTTATTTACTCCTACTTCATTATTTTTACTTTTTATTTAAAGTTTTATTTACCAAGTCATTTAGTTGTTTATTTGTCATGTTTTGTCCATTTTTTATTAAAATGCAAGAAAAAACTACAAATGTTCATAACCATACATGTTTTATTTTAATTAAAATAAATCAAGATTCACAAAGTCAATGCAATATCACCATAATGTCTAATAAGACTTTTATTAACAAATAACTGAAGTATATATCATTTGATTTATAAACTGATAATTAGTATTACATGCACCTTGATCTTTATTGAATAATTCTAGATTTTGATGAACATGTTTATCAGAATGTACTCTTAATGATCGTAAAATATAGTTTTGTCTGTGAGATGATAGAGAACTAGTTCTCATGCTGATCTAGTTGTTTAGAACATAATACGATGTATGGTTCATTGAAATACAATTTAAACCACAACACACGACTATAAAATAGAAAACAGTCCCATAAATGTATTTCAAATAAGGCACACGTGAATGGGATTTTTGTATATTTATAAAATATTGTCATGTACTGGTGGTGGACCTGAGCTGATTGGCTAACGGGTTGCAGGTGTGAGAGGAGAGAGAGAGAGAGAGGACGAGCAAGTGTACACTACAGGGGGGCTAGGAAAATAAATCTCAGAGTAAGAAAGAATAACTGGACACAATAAAACTAGAATCACTAAGAAGAACTGAACTGTGAAACAGAAACAAGGCTGATCTAATCAAAGAAACAAACAAAAAGCAAAACCCACAAAACAATTTAAAAAACCCAGGACCTGACGAATCTTTGTTTAATTAGTATTTTACATAAAACACACACCTGACTTTGCAACCGATTGAACTGCTGAAAAGATGATTTTATAGACGTCCCTTTTGCTACAACAGGCAGCAGCAACTGATGCTACGTTAGCTAAAGGCTAACGATAGCTTTTGAACAAATTAATTCTCCAGTCTGGACTAAAGCAATTAATAAAACACTGATATGATCATAAATATACAAGATAATTTGACTATCTCCCTTCTTATTATTTCATCTTGTAAAAAAACTATATTAGTGTCTTTGGATTAGGTTGTTGTTCAGCATAAAATGGCCGTGTGTTAAACAATCTGATCCTTCTTTTAGTCTCTTACAAATCTCAACAAACAGTGACTCTTTCTGACCCAATGTTTGCTTGAAATTACTCAACTTGTGTCAGCATTCAGGTTCAAGAAACAACCCAAAACTTCCTGTGTTTCCGGTAGAGGTTCTGAAACTAACCAGCCAAGAATTAGCTTTAAAAAATCTTACTGTTTCAGAGTGACAAAGCAGATTTTCTCTGAAATGATATAAAATTCTGAAACATTTTCCTACCCTGGTCAGCCGGCCTTACCGGGATTTGAGTTTATCAAATACAAAGAAGGTTATAACAAAGACTTCAGAGCTTACATGTGCTCATTGCCACTTACTCATTTCATTGGGGACAGTGACGCTATTTATTATTGACATAAAAACCTTGACTCATGTTATCACCAAATAAAGCCTTTTGTGCAAGAGGTCGACAATTAAAGGTGTTCGCTCACGGAAAGCCCTTTTATTCTGAAGGAAAACTTGTTTAAAAGTGAGTGTGTGCAGTACAAGCACAGGGCCGCAGAGAGACCAGCGAGGGCCACCGTGTCGGTGTTACCTGAAGACGCATTCAGCTGTTTCTTTACTCAACAACGCAGTTTGTCACAGCGTCTCTGCCTTGCTGCCTAGGGTCACGACATTCCTCCTGTCGATGTTTCAAAAGCCCCGTCACACACCAACAGCTCCCGGTAAACCAGGGAGCGGGCTGGGTGCTTGTGAGGAGGGTGTGTCTGGATTTGCCCAACAACGATGAGCTGTTGTGGGAAAGGATCCCACACACACACACACACCCCACACACACACACACACACAATAGCAGAACGGGTTTGTCTGCTGAAGCTGGCTTAGGTATAAGGTTCGGTTACACCTGCTGCTGCCCCGTTAGTTCAGAGGAGCCCAGGGTCGTTCGCTGAAGAAACAGGGAGAGATGGCTGCTACCACAGCTCAGTCCATGGGGATGCTGCCCAGTGGAATGGAGATATGCACCACAGCCCCAGATATATTTTATCTGCCGGAACTGGTGAGTGGAACATTATTATTTTTTTTTTTAAGTCAGTTTTTGAAGATTTTGTCCTTTTTGGATACTCTTTTGCGACCTATTAGAGAAGAAATTCAAAGTTCCTTGCCCACATTTCAATAAAATTTATTGCAAATGTTACTTTTATGTTCACATTGGCTTTAGGGTTCAGCCTGTTCAGTCCAAAAGGCAAACATATAAATAGACAAACAATTTTTTAATACATATTTGTATTAATCTAAATGATGCTACAGCAATAAATGTGTTAATTTACGCAAAAGAAAGCAAAAAGACAGAACTCCGAGAGTACCGTTTGAATGTAGTAAAGCATAATTTCCCCAAACTAATTCATAAACTACATCACATTTTGTTAAATGTGTCTTTATTTGTCATGAATAAAGACTTGAATTAAACCTACTGTTATTAAACCCAAAGGTTCCAGATGATCTGGATTAAAAGCTTCACACGTTTTGAGGGGGAAATAAAAGAACACAATGAAACATTTCTAATGTGGGAGGAGCGCCTACATCAGTTCACCTCTCATATTTCAGTCACATTGTGTCTCTGTTACCAATCTAAGGGAGAATGTGGTAACCTCTCTGTCTCTGGAAAAAAAAAATATATATATATAAATCGTTCTCATAAGGCCTGCTGCAGGTTTCAGTGCGTGGAAGCTGTATCCAAATTGGAGGTTTAGTCAAACTTGTATGCTAACAACAAATTAGTCTAAGCAGAAATAATTATTTCTGAGAACGTTGTTTTGAGTGTTTGAGCAGGCAGTTCACAATTTAATCCTGCCTCCTAACACTGTGGCAACTTACTACTAAAGTAACGTCAATTTTATGCAAAAACAGCCAACTTCATGAAACTTTAGATCTATTCAATTAAATTATGATCAAATTATATTTACATTATAATCTAAACACATCAGATCCAGTTCAGGTCAAATGTTTGAGTTTTTGAGTATTAAAGCCACACAGAGTTTCTGTCTTATCTTATTTTATCTTATCTGTAAGAGGGAGGGCAACGTTTTCCTCGTCATTTATTTTCTTGGACAATTTAGTCATTTCAGTTCGACATACAGCTGTATAATTGTGTTTGAGCAAATAAGGCTAAAGATTAACTCCAAAAGTCTATAAAAACCGTAACGAATGAGCCTGCAGGAGTCTCAGCAGATAAAAAAAAGTGCAGTGACTTATGACTAATCAATAGCAAATTGCTTTAAAAGTGGTTTTTGAGCAACTATAAGGGCGAATACAATGGGAGTGGCACGCAGACATGAAGGGTGTGGTGGACGGCTCAGCTGCAACAGCTTCACTCTGGAGTTTTCAATTCCCTTTATTATTTGTCTCCTTTTCTATTACTGTTAGTTTTACAATGTTCGATGGTGTTGTGATACAATGTTTATGATGTGATTCATTGTATGTGTTAAATATGCATCAACAGACACTAGAGGTAAACAGGATTTAGGTAAATTTGCAGTAATAGTTAAGAAGATACACATGCCTGGGTCCTAAACTGAACATTTGTCTTGACTGACCATGAATATGGGTTAGCAGTTTGAACTCTGACTGCTCCATCTCTACATTTTGAGAGTAATTTGAAATGCTGCATCTAAAATGTGTATTTTAAACAAAAAATGATTTGTTGGAGCATGTGTTTAGCAAAAATGGGGGAAAAAAACTCTTCATTTTACAGTTTCATACAGTTAAGCCAGGTAATAAAGTCCTATAGATTCACTGACCATTTATCAAAGAAAATCAACAATGTAATAACATTGATAACCTTTTGTATTGTAAGAAAAAAAAATGATGTTTTTGTTTGATAAAAAAATTGAGTATTTTAAGGAAAAGAGTGCTTTTGTGTATTCACTAGTCTTAAAATTGGGTAATTAATGCTGTTGTTCCAACTAACCACGCCATTATGTTGGTAAATAAAGAAAAACACATAGAAATGTACCGTATTCACTTCACGGCTTAACCTGACAGACGCCACAGTTAGCTCTCCATAATAGCAAATTTGGTTCATAAATGTATACTAAATTAGAGACGACACCTTTGATTTAACTGTTGGAATAAACTAGAATTAGGTTTTACAACCATTATTTGTCCCCTTATTTTAAAAACAATTGGCCTAAAAAAAACGACAGAGTTTAGTCTGTAGCTACTCAAATGATGCCATTTATGACTTAGCAAATTAAACACCGCCCACATTCCAATAAGACCACTGTTTGCTTAGTCAATAGTCAGAGAGGGATTGTCTCTGAGGTGGCGGATTTATTATTTGCCAACTGTGTTGCCACCATTTTCACTCAGTATTTTACTTTTTTTTCTCTCCTTTTCACACGATATTTAACTGTTTCCCATTGACTGATACGGGTCCATTATTTGGGGCTTTTAATGGTTTGTTTTATACTAAATACTATACTGTTTTTGCATATGTGGAATTGCAAAAAGCAGAATGAGTGAACGTAATAACAAGAATCTAGTGTGTGAGTTAATATTAGTAGAAGGAGTCACCCTCATTCAAACAACATCAAATTGACATACAGGTTCAAGCATAAATATACATTTCCTATCATGCGTTTGCTTAAAAAATCATGCAAAGATTTTGAAAATGTTCTGGGTGTGTCTCAGTTCAACGGGTTTTAAGCATAGTTCAAAAATTCACAAATGGGCTAATGGCAAACTCACCCTACAAGCTTAACGTTATAACCTTGTTTATCAGTCCCAAAACCAGTCGTGATCTTGGTTTTGTATTTTTATCCTCCTGAAAAAAACCCCAACTGTGTTCATGTTTTAACCATGTCTAATAACCATTATTTAATATGATCTTAGGGAATTTGGAGGCAGTCCTCCATCTTTATTATTCCACCAATTGTGTTCAATGCATCGGTACCTGACCGTTAGGAAATGCCCTCAGCATGATGGTACCGCCACCATGTTTGACCACAATGTTCTCAGGTTTGTTTCCTCAAGGGTGCTATCATGACAGCACATTAAACCTTTGTTCTTACGGAACTAATAATACTAAATTTACTACAAACAAATTGTTTTCTTTCTAGTAAGTTGAAGTTGATGTTGGACATTTTGTTTTCTCGATTACCACCCTCCAAGTCCATGTTGATGTTAATTTCTCTTTGCTGTGGATGAGGACAGCTGGTGTTTTATCAGGTTCCAGTTTATGAGGCTTCATTTGTTCCTAAAGAATCTGGCCAATTTCCTTTTATCAGGGATGGTGAAACTTTGACACAGGTGTTTGTTCCAAAAAGGACAACAATCTGTTTTTGGAATGGATTAAACAGGCTCACACTAACCTTCTAGGTATGGTCCTAACCTCAACCTTACAAAAAATGATTTACAGATTTGTACATGGAAGTCAACCTATTTAAACAAACTCTACCAATTCTATCTGGAAGAGTAGTCAGCAAGTATATCAAAATAAGGCATGAACTTTCCTGATAGCTAAAAAAAAACAGAATACATGTCATAAGTAAGTTAAAATTAATTGAGGTAGATTTATAATTCTTGAACTATGGAAATATATGGTTCAAATGCGTCATTATAACCTTAAAGCCAATATGGCATCCGTGCTGATGATGAGTGTGTGTAAACTTCTGATCAAAATTTACTTCTACTACTTCAAAAACACTCCCAAATCTCCTAAAGCTGTCATTTCAGAACCGATTCCAGAAACCAAAACCACAAAGATAGATTTAGGGTCACTCCAAGAAAAACAAGAAAAAATGTTCCACCTTGAAACTTTCTCCCAACTCTTTCTGTCCAGGTGTTTGGAGGTTTGGTGTGGATCCTGGTGGCATCAACCCACATCAGCCCCGTTAACCCTTTGGGGTGGGTGATGTTTGTCTCGGTCTTCTGCTTCGTCATGACCTTCCTGTGGATGGTCATGTTTGCTGCTGGCTGCCACAAGAGCAGCCCCGGCTGGGCCGCTGCTGTAAGAGCACAACACAACGTGAAGCGAAGATGAAATATAAACAAGACATAAGAATAGAAATGAGACTAACTAGCCTGTATTTATTTGGTATGAGCAGGACTTTGTCTACCATGGCCTGGCAGTGATTTTCTACCTCAGTGCGGGAGTGGAGTTGGCTTACATTACTTTGCTGAGAAAATCAGTTCTGCCAGTTGGTTTTCAACTCTACCAGATTGATATTGCAGCAGTGGTGAGATGTTCCTCTTCTTACTTTCAGACTCTCTAGTATCTCCCTGATTTTACTGAAATGCTGTATATTGGATAATATTCTTATCCAGAACACGTATTTATACCACAATAACTCTGTTATATATCTGTGGCGCATTTCTGTGGCGCAGGTAGATGTTCTGCAAATAAAACTCCAAAGTCGTCTTCCTATTCATCTGGTACTGATGCAAACAGAGTTTATTCACAGTCATGGAGTTATTTGAGCATAACAAAAAACTGCGATACGAGCTTCACATCTCTGAGACACCTTACAGTTTATTATTATCTCAAAAGCCTCTAACACCATGGAAGTGATGTTGTGCTTCTGAAATGTCATAGTGACAGCAAAATAGCGTCATTTAATCTAACGTAGTATGTACAAAGACACGAACAAAACAAATGCTGTCAATGTAATAGCAGAAAAACTTCAATACAACATCTTTCATCCTGATGCAGTGGAACACTAAACAGGGTTTGATTTTGCATGAAATGTACGTCGTTTCATCACTTTTAGAAGCAGCCAGCATGTGTTTTTCTGCAAAGAAATATTTGATACATTACAGATTTCTCATGTTTTTTTTTCTCACACCTAAATGTTTCAGATTATCAACCATGAAATGTCAGATAAAGATAAAATACAAAATGCATCTCTTAATTTATAAGTTAACAGGGTAACACTTTATTCAACTGACATATATATGACATAACATCTGTTATGAACATGAAGGAGTCTTCATGAATGTTTATGACTGTTGTCATGAAGTGTCATTCAGTAAATAATGACACTTTTATTGCAAAGTTGACTCTTTTAATTGACTTTTAATGCAAGTTTTAGTACAACTTTGCAGTAAAAGTGGTAAAAATGTCACATGCTTATGAGCATGCTTTATGAATGCTTATGACAACAGTCATAAGCATTCATAAAAACTCCTTCATGTTCATAACAGGCGTCATGTCAGTCTTATTCAAACCCCTTCAAATAAACTGTGACCCAATGCTGACCTTTAAACACAGTCTCATTTACAGCCTATGCAGAACCACATTTGGCATTTCCACCACTCATGGCTCTAACTTTAGCCTTTGTGTTTTGTGTTTGCTTTTGAAGGTGTTTGCCTTTGCGACCACACTCCTCTACTTCATCCACGCCATCCTCTCCGCCATCCGATGGAAACACTTCTGAGGAGAACCGGGAAGAAGTGATGCAAGAAGTACAGAGCGTCATTGCCATCACCGTCTGCGCACACCAAAGAAATTTACATTTTGACATAAAGGATGTGCACGAAAAGGCAACACAAACAACCCAAGTCTTTTTATTCCAACCTTATAAATTCTCATTTACAATGTTGTCAGCAACCTAAAAGTTCATAGGCTCACAATAAGCTTTTGATCTCCATTCTGTTATGTTGGGTTGAGGCTTTCTGGACTGGGCACCAAACAGTTTAGAGATGTAGAAATAAAGTTTAGAAATGGATAGTAGAAATGTCTTTTTGTATGTGGTCAAGCAAATACTGTATATAGTTTTAAAAAACATATAGAACAAGCAATCAGTTTGGATGAACAACTGCTATAATTGTAGTTCTATGGAAACTATAAAAAGTTATTTTAATAGTGCATTTCATCATTCGTTATTTGAAAAAAATATGTTTTTCTACATTTCAAGGATTTGATGTTGTTGTTGACTGAAGTTTAATGTAATTATAGAAAACTGAAGAGAAACAAATAAAATCAATTGTGTTTTTCATTTGCTTCAAAGTTATGTCATCTATGTTTTTTTTTCAGTAAGATTTTTTTTTTTACCAACAAACAAGCAAAACTATAAATGTCTCATGTGTGTTTAGAGCAACACACATGAAACATTTAATGGGACAACTAACCATGCACACACACACTCACACACAAGGGAAATTTAGACAGAAATAACCTAAAATGATCCAAATTTTAGCCAGATCAATCCAGTTCATTCCATTACATTGTTCACAACTGTGGTACATTTAGAATTAAAAATCTTGTTTTTGATAGCATCTCTCATAAGGTAATAAAATGCTCCAAAATGAAATCTAATTATGAAAAATTATATAGTTATTATTTATAATTGACTAAAAATGGCTTCTCTAAAATTATTTCCACCATTCTCAATTCCCAATGGACTACAGCAATGAATCTAACTTCTCCATCATTGGTATTTTTTTTTCTATTTATATCTGGTGATGAGCTCCAAGTCTTTGGGGTTTGATGGCCTCCAGTCAATTACCTTAATCTTTACCTTCTTTCACAGCAAACTTCAAGTATGCGCAACAAGCTAAATATGCTTTCCAAAATGAGTTCCTAATGTTTTAACATAGGAGAGTTAACAGTGATAAAATAAACTCGAGGAGAAAACGTCCCATAAAACAGCTGGGTTAAAGTAACCCCCTTCAGGTTGTTGTTCCACACACTGCTGGATATTATATCAACCAAAGCACCTCAGGGTCATTTAACACAACAGGGTTTGGTTACAAGTTTGACACGGCATGTTGTGTTAGGTTTTGAGCTAACATGTCATTTTAATGCAAGCTAAGGGTGGATTCAACAGGAAACCCCCAACAAACATTTCTAAATAAGTCATGTATGGATTAAAAAGAATGATTCATCTTCTGTATACGCTTTCACTAACAAAATTCATTAATAGACTTGGTTAAAGTTTTAAAGAATAAAACTCAAATTGAAGCTTCCATTACCTATGGGATGGACTCTGCCATGACGACTGATAGTAACAGAACACATGATAAAAGGGTTGAATGTGAAACAAAACTGCAATATTTTTCTACAATTTCAAAATTATGTACCTATTCCCAATTTAACCGATAAGCTCTACATAAAAATTTTATACAATTTAATAGGAAATGAACCCATGACAGGTAAAAGTAAAAGCTTCATGACAACAGCCTTATTTAGCCTAAAACCAAAATCAGAAATATCTGATATGGTTATTGATCAGACATTACAGCCTGAATTTGAAAGCAATATTGAGGAAGCATTTTCCTTAGTCAGAGACTTAAAAACTTTACAGGGACATTGTAACCTAAATTACATGTTGCATTACAAATTAATACTGGCTCAAGTCAAACATAAATTCAGCAACAAAATGTCACAGTGTTAAAAAGAATAGAGTAGCTGTAAGTTTTATATATTTACAACGTGTGAATTCTGGAAAATGAGTTATGCAACATTTGATCAGTTCTCAAATTACAAGGATGATAATCATATGCTCATGTAAACATGAGTTAATAACAAACCATTTGGAGGTTCATGTGAATCTGTGCTTTAGCACAGATTCACTTCTCCCTCACTGGGATGGGGTTTGCTTTGATTTAAAAAGTTTAAATCCCAATAACTAACACATGAAGGGTTGTGTTCATGTGTTAGTTAGGGGGGAAAAAAACGCAACCTACTCGTTAGGTTTTGCAAACACGTAAAGAAGCATAATTTCTGTCCTCTGTTTGATTAACGCACCAGGACATATAAGTTTAAATGACCATTTCTAACTGCTTTCTAAAAGCTGCCAAAATGTAAATTTGGTTTAGACTTAGTGCTTCAATGATGTTTCTGACATTTTATTTATATGTCTGAAGGAACGTGGATTGATTTAATGAAACAAAGTTTAAGAATTAATCGTTTTCCCATGGGTTTGAATAAATTGACAAAAAGGAAAGTAATAAAACAAAAGGTAATAACAATGGAAGGAAAATTCTGTTGATATTTGCAAATTGTAGTGCTTACACTGTAAGTGCACAAGTGGACCTTAATCTCAAAAGTTAAAAATATTAGTATGTGCAAGTTGTATTAAGTTGCATGAGTCATGACTATCTTGAGAATTCAGAGTAAGTTCCAATGACATAATTGTGTATAGCTTAATTCTACTGTAAAACTAAGTTTTTTTGTTTGTTTTTTTTCTTACTTGCTAAGGGGGAGCTAAGCATTTTACTGAGAATGCTATGACGGATCTTTTTTCCCCTATAGTTATCAACACACACGCATTAGTATTGTTATTTTTCAGACTTATTTGCATTTATTTGACGCTAAGACGTCAGCACGGAGCCTTGAGCCATTAGCCAGATTACTTACAGATAATATTACATTGTTTAGGTTAAAACAGCATTTATGACAAAGGAGATACCCAAGTATTGACCTTTTGCAAATAGACACTTAATCATTCGAAGCGCCATGATGTACATCGGAAGTGAGAATAGGGAGAATTGATCTGAGCGTCTAAAGTTGTTTTTCCAAGTTGTTTTTGTCAGTTTATTCATGGTTTCTACTTGCTGGAATCAAGCTAATTTGTCTGTGAACGTAGCACACCTGGTTGGGCTCATAGACGGCGGTATTTACAGCTAGCTTAGAAACCGACCCGAGCCTCCTCCCTCCTGACGTGTTGATCAAATTACCGACTTTGCCTGAATTCACACTACATGATTTATGTCACTATGTCATAAACAGCGTTTCCCTCTAAACCGGAGCAGCCTTAAAAACGTACAGAAGACGAGACGCTAATCATATTTTTCAATACATGCTAGGCTACATGACGGTGCAGCATTGTTTCCATGGTTACTGATGGTTAGACGCATACTTTCTCCATAATGCGATATTTGATATCTTTCTAATCATACTTACTTATAAAGTATATGAACGTTAATCTCCTTACCTTGTATAAGGTGTTCGCTGTAAATCCGTGGTTACACCAAGAGCTGCCAGTCATTAAGATTAATGGCTGAGGTAACACTTTATTTGAAGGGGTGTGCATAAGACTGACATGACACTGTCAAAAACATGACATAACACCTGTCATGAACATAAAGAAGTGTTTATGAATGTTTATGACAGTTGTCATGAAGTGTCATTCAGTAAATAATGACACTTTTAATGCAAAGTTGCTCTAAAAGTTACATTGAAAGACCATTAAAAATGCCAATTTTGCATTAAATTGTCATAATTTACAAAACCCTTGCATAGGTCGCACTTTTAGTGGACTTTTAAAGCAACTTTTAGAACAACTTTGTCTTAAATGGGTTAGGGTTAGGATTTGGAACCCAGCGTTCTGATGCTAAAAATTAGCATCAATTTAACAATGGAGAAGTCATAAGCATGTTGACTAACATGGACTTGTGCCATTTGGTATGTTAAAAGCTAAATATAAGCTAAAATTAGCCAAAATGCTAATGTTAGGATAAATGCTGTCAGTAGCATGTGGGGTATCACAAGCATGTAGTCGTGTGATACCCTTTGTGATGGAAGTCAATTGACTTCCATGAACTAAACATGGCTAATAAATAAGAAAAGGTATCTAAATGTTTTTTTTAGGGAAAAGGCCCATGCTAATTAGCATTAGCTTTGCACTAGTGGGGGGTAGTGCACTGCTAATGTTTGTGCTAATGTTAATGATCTGAGAGAAAAAGATAGTAAAGGCTAATATTGGTTACTCTGAGAGTTATATAGAGGCTTTTAGTTTGAAAATTTCAGTAAGTTTCATTTTAAATACCCACACTAATCCCATGTGCAACAGCAGTGGTGTCCAAAGTTGGTCCTGGAGGGCCTTCATCCTGCATGTTTTAGTTCTCTCCCTGGTTTAGCACACCTGGATCCAATGATGGCTCGTTAGAGGCCTAAGAAGAACACTGACATGCTGAAAAGGTTGTTACTACCACCAGGGAGAGAACTAAAACATGCCGGATGCCGGACCTCGAGGACTGACTTTGGAAACCACTGTGCAACAGTGGTTGTGTTAAACCAGTTATAATAACTGAAACAGACACACACACACACACACTCACACCTAGGGAGAATTTGGAGAGGCCAATTAAACTGTCAGTCATGTTTTTGGACTGTGGGAGGAAGCCGGAGTACCCGGAGAGAACCCACGCATGCACAGGGAGAACATGCAAACTCCATGCAGAAAGACCCTGAGTCAGGAATGAAACCCAGGACCTTCCTGCTGCAAGGCAACAGTGATACCAACTGCGCCACTGTGCAGCCCACAACACCTTTTGAAAAGTCAATCAAATGTCAAAAATCCACCCTATTAGGGTAGGGAGGATTTTTGACCCTACATGTCCTGCAGAACCCTCCCCAATCACAGAGGGTTGACCACCCAGGGTTGCCTTAAAATCCTTGTAAAACTTCATTTTGACGCTCTGCTTCATCTGTCAAGGTTGCAACACAACATAAGTTACGTCAAGGTGGGGGCGGGGACAGTGGGTGGAGGCTAGACCTGTCTGAATTCACAGCTTTTCTCATCTGGTCTTTGTTTATTCATAGCCTTCAAAGGATCTGG